AGATAGATAGATAGATAGATAGATAGATAGATAGATAGATAGATAGAAAGAAAGAATATATACTATTTAAATCTGGCTCTCCCATTAATTATTTTTAAAGATGGTCTCATACAAACAAGACTGTCCTAGAACTGATTGTGTAGCCTTGAATTTGTCATCCTCTCGCCTCTTCCTCCAGAGTGCACAGGTGTGTGCCACCTAGACGGCTTTCCTTTAATACCAGAATCTCTGTGCTTTGAGTCAGAGATACATTGACAAGTCAATCAATTCCCTATTGACCAAATGGTTCCAAACTACAGAAAGGAAGACCTGTGGGCAATTACTGCATTTCCTCTGCTTTGTGCTATCTTAAGGAATTTCGTTTCACCACAAATTCCTCTGGTTTTATTTGGGGCTTCTACGCTTTATCTCTAATTCCACTTAAAATCTATCCAGCTTATTTGTGCATGAGCCATCCCTCTAAATACTAAACCCAAGTAGGTTACCAGAACAACACTAGGGGAGACTTAGGACCAGGTTAGCCTTTGAATCATCCTTTTCCTTTGCTTAGCCACAATGCCACAGCTGAGAGATCTGGATAGCTCCTGCAAAACAAAGTATGCAACGTGAATCTTACTTTTATTTTGAATTTTACAGAGGTTCTATATGCACTATATGCCTGGAAAGTACGGTGTTTGTTGACCTCTCCCTCCCTCCCCTCCTACTCCCCACATCTTCCCCTACCTCTAGCTCAGCAATTATCCAAGCCAAGTCTCTTAGCAGTGGCATCAATAAGGCAGTCAGGACAGAAAACCATTGCTTGAGAAGCCAAATAATCCCCTGTGATGGTAATTAACATGGAGCGGGTTCTGCTAATGTGCCCGGTGGGAACCAGAAGCCGCTCACCGGACTTTCACCTTAATAGGCAGAGGAAGGGCTCAGGTGCAAAGAGCCTGGAAGCAATACAATCGGAACTGGACTCGTTTTAGAATGCCATTTTCGGAGCATGCCCCGAGTGAGGGAAGAACTCTTGCTCTCTGCAAGTCCTTAGTCCTGCTTCAGCAAGACTGAGCTCTGGAGGTTTCAAAACTGAGGACCCCTGCAGTCTACTACAGCTAAGTGGACTTGACCAAGGTCACACAGAGAGTAGGAAAATTAGGATTCATAGACTCTGTGTTTCCTGGTGCACTAAAAAGAAAAAGAATTCTAATGAAGCCCAGCAGTCTCTTATTTTTTTTTTCAGCCAACTTTAACTAGCGCAAAATTCTGAAAGAATCAATTGGAAATATTAAAACTCAACTGAAACCTACAACCCACAGTCTCAGCTCCAGTCCCCAGAGTGAAATGTATGCTCATGAACTAGCATAAATTAAAGAGAAAAGAGTGGCCTAGAAGCACAATGAACGGCTCTACAAGGTTAGTTATTACTACTCATCCAGCACATTCACTAGTATAACAATCCATTTAAAAACACCATTCGGTCACTTCCTGCACACAAAGCCCCGTGGAAGGGGAGGGAATATGTAACAGTGAAGGACACAGACCATGCCCAGCTCCTGTATTTTCGAGAGGGGCAGCCTTCTCTGTTTTCAAGTCATCAAGCAATCAGGGTCTTCCATATATTTCTTACCCAATTATTATGGATGTTTTTTTTCTACTCAAGTCCACAAATGAAAAAGGGGAGCCGGGAAGGAGCGCGGCAGTAGCCCCATTGTCTAGTACGTACAAAGCCCTGGCTTAGAGACCCCACATGGGTGGGGAGAACCCAAGTACAGTTGGTCCTAGCAATCCAACGACTTGACATTTTTTTGTGTTATTTCTAAAGAAAAATTGATGCATATTTTATCCATACAGGAACTCAAGCGTTTTCTCCTAAATCTCTAAAACCCTTCCAATGCTTTTTTTTTTCTTTCTGAGACTAGATCTCATGTATTCAAGTTGGCCCCAAATGGTATTTGTAGCTGAGAATGACCCTGAGCTTCTGATCCCGCTGCGTCCACTTCCAAGTGCTGTGAGCCATGAGCCACAACACCCAGTTTACTTGGCACTGGGGCTGGAACTCATGGCTTCATGTGGACTGCGCAAGCTTTCTACCAGCAGAGGCAAGTTCCCAACCCTGGAACAGGCTTCTTTATGGAGCAGATTGCTCCTCTCCTCACTTCTCCTCAGGAAATGCTTCCCTCAGATTCCTTTCCTTCACAGCTGTTAAGGCCCTGAAAGGTGGCTAGTAAGCCACATGGGAAATCTGTGCAAGCTCTCAAAAGCCGCATCACCAAGTTCCAAGTTTCTTTTGTCCGGGGCTCTCAGTTCAGACGCTGTCTTACTTGGACATATCTCAGTGGGTGTTATGAACACTTTTGAGATTTGTAATTATGTAATTTAGGTGTTTCTTGAGGCAAACTGTCCAGCTAACTAATTCTCTTCTGGAATTTATCTTTAATGTCTGGGAAGGTTACCACAGGGAAGGGAAAGAGCCTGAACGATGGCTCAGTGGGTGAAAGCACTTCCCACCAACCCTGATGACCTGAGTTCAAGCCCGGGGACCCACCTGGTAGAAGGTGGACAGTTGTCCTCTGGTCTCCACACATGCATGATGACATGTATGTGCCTGCACATATACACAAATACATATACAATAAGTAAATATGTAAAAAGAAAAAGAGCAGGGCTAGAAGTGATGGCTCAGCAGTCAGAAGAACTAGCTGATCTTCAGAGGAACATTGTTCAACTCCCAGCATCCACATGGTAGCCCACAACTATCAGTAACTCCAGTTTCAGGAGATCCCAAACCCTATTCGGGCTTCTATAAAAATAGACATATATGTGGTATACATATAGACTTGCAGACAAAACACCTGTACACAAAAATGAAAATAAATCTTTAAAAAGAGAGAAAGAGAGGTGGAGAGGAAGGGAGGGAGAGAGGGGAAGCTAGATCCCTATCTTTTCTTGTTCTTAAAATTCTATTTTGGGCCAGGCAATGGTGTCACCTTTAATCCCAGCACCTGAGAGGCGGAGGCAGGTGAATCTCTGTGAGTTCAAGGCTAGCCTGGTCTACAGAGCGAGTTCCTGGACAGCCAGGGTACACTAAGAAACTTGTCTTGAGAAACCAAAAAAAAAATTCTATTTTGTATTTAGAAAAACCTGGGGACTGGTGAGATGGCTCAGTGGTTAAGAGCACTGACTGCTCCTCCAGAGGACCGGGGTTCAATTCCCAGCACCTACATGGCAGCTCACAGCTGTCTGCAGCTCCAGTTCAAGAGAATCTGACATCATTATACCAATGGGCATGAAATAAAGTTAAGTAAAGTTTAAGAGAAAGAAAGAAAGAGAGAGAGAGAGAGAGAGAGAGAGAGAGAGAGAGAGAAAGAAAGAAAGAAAGAAAGAAAGAAAGAAAGAAAGAAAGAAAGAAAGACCTGAACCCTTTATTCCTCTAACGTTTCAACCCAAGAAAGCTTTCCCAGGGTGACTACGGGGAGTCATGTAGAGAGTAAAGTCAGCTGTCACGGGCAGCTTACGGTAACGTAAGCATGTAAGTCCTGCCCACGTAACATTTTAAACAAGCACTAGCTCTAAGATGAGAAGCCCAGCCTGGCGCAGGAGAGGGGAGCTAAGGCGTCTTACTCCTCATCCCGAAGAGTCTCCTCCTCCTCCTGCATCTGCAACTGGTTCTTCACCGGAGCCAGGTTCTCAGTCTTGGCATTGTAGTTCCGAAAGCAGACATTGAGCTTTTCGTCAAATTCATTCACCAGGTCCTCCATGGACTTGAAGCTGATTATTTCGGAAGAAAAATTCTCAAGCTCAGAGAGGGAAGGGTCCTCCAGGTGGTGAGGAGATGAGCCGTAAAAAGACTGCGGCTTTTCCTCTGGGTCCTCGGAGCAAGAGGGCCTCAGATCCTCAAACTCTTCGTCTAGACTCACCAGCGGGGCCTCCATCCTGGCACCACAGTGGGATGACTGCAACTGTCAAGCTCCGTTTCCCTGGAAGAAATAACACAGGGCAGTGTGAGTCTGGACCGAGCTTTCGTGCCAGTTCTGCCAAGGAGCCAGATCACATCTTCCATTCCTCTACATCCCCTGGAAAAACAGAGTCCTCCTCCCCCGTGCAAAACCTAGATTTAAAAAATGCTTATGAAAGTAGAAGGGGACTTGTTTGATAAGAACTTGAAAGGGACTAGAAGAATGACGGGGGACGTGAACGGGAAAGGAGGGAGATATGAACAGAGCACACTATAAAAAATGTGTGAAAAATTACAATAAAACATAATTGTCATTTTGGATAATTAATATGCGCTAATAAAATATGCATAACGAAACAAGAAACCTATCCTGGGGCTGGAGAGATGGTTCGGAGTGCAAAGGACTTTCTGCATACACATAGGGACCTGAGTTGAGAGCCCCAGAACGCACATAAAATTGGGGAGGAGCAGTGTGTGTCTGTAACCTCAGTACTGGAGGGTGTGATAGGCAGATGACTCACAGGCCAAACAGTCTAGCTGAAATAGCAAGTCTCGGGTTCAATGAGAGGTCCTGTTCTACAAAATAAAGATGCCCTGAGTACCTTCAGTGCTGTGGCTGCTGTCAGTCTTGACAAGGAATTTCCCATCTATACTATTACTCGGCTTTAGACAAAATTTCCTCCACTCTTTGGGTGAAAAAATAAGGTGGAGAAGCCTTATGGATACCAACCTCTGGCCTCCACATGCACTCACATGGGCGAGCACAGCTACATACACACGTGCACACATACACACACATCCACACATTCACATATGCATGCAGGCACACACGCCCATGCACACACCACCACCACCAACAACAACAGTAGATCATATTTACTGGAGTATCTGTGGCTTCTGAAGTTGCTTACTACAGTGCACGTAAGTAGTTCAAATATCTTTGCACATCATCATAACAAACAGAGCAAATGCTAGAGCTGCCCCCAAACCACAGTAATGGAACATTCAGTGCCCAGGCTAGGACACTCAGATTTGTATTCTTTTATCTCTACCAGCTATGACCTTAAGCAAGCTATTTAAGTTCTCTGTGCTTCCTCTTTTCCTTTTTCAAGCCACCAAAAACAACAGGATCTACATCTTCCTCTTCCTCTTCCTTCTCCTCTTCCTCCTCCTCTCCTTCTCCTTCTCCTTCTGCTTCTGCTTTTGCTTCTTCTTTTTCTTCTTCTTCTTCTTCTTCTTCTTCTTCTTCTTCTTCTTCTTCTTCTTCTTCTTCTTCTTCTTCTTC